TGAGGCAGCGCTAAGGAGGAGCGAGCCGAGCGGTAAGGAACAGTGAGCAGGTGGGTGGTAAGGAGTGAGGGCTCCAGACTGTGAGAGGGATGTCCGTCTGCAAGAGGGTGCAGGCTGGGCTGAGGGACCCCCGCCCCCCTTTCCCCAGTGCACGAATTTTTTGCATCGGGCCTCTAGTAAGTTAATAAATCTCTGAGGAAGAAAATACATCAAAAGACTGAAGGCATCAGAATCTAAACTTTGGGGGAGCAGGGTCTAGGGTTGTGCTACCCACTATTATGTCCTCGCCACTCAGAACAGTGCCTGGCATGGAGCCGGCTCCAGAAATGTCCAATGAGTGAACAGATGAGAAGACCCTGAGTAAGACGCACATGGCTAAGTAGAAGTACTAAAACGCATTTTATACATACTTATAAAATAAAGTTGAGCTCTGAATGTGGATTTTGACTTTGTTATTGTTTTCAACAAATGGTGAATTAATAAGATTATGAGAGAGAAACTTGAAAGTTTTTCTTTTCTTTAAAAAAAATATATATATTTTATTGATTTTTTTTTTTTAATTTTTTCTTTTTTTACAGAGAGGAAGAGAGAGAGAAAGAGAGTTAGAAACATCAATGAGAGAAAAACACCGGATCAGCGGCCTCCTGCAAACCCCCTACAAGGGATGTGCCTGCAACCAAGGTACATACCCTTGACCGGAATCAAACCTGGGACCCCTCAGTCCACAGGCCGATGCTCTCTCTACTGAGCCATACCGGTTAGGGCAAAAGTTTTTATTTTCTTAAAAGATGATTAGAAGTATCATGGGGAACAGTGGTCTGAACCCAAGGTTACAGTACCCGAAGTCCTAGCACCTCTTAGATTAGTTGTGTCCTGTGTCTTCCCTGCCTCTGTGTCATTGAATAAGTGATTTAATCTGTACCTCTGTTTTCTCATTTATGAAGTGGGAATAATAGTAGAACCTACCTGGTAGGATTATTGTGAGGATTAAACCAGTAAAGCAATTAAAATAGTCCAGGTGCATATACAGTAAGCTCTGTAGTGCTAATTTTCATTGTCATTTTCCTTTTCTCCCCCCTCCTTCTTCACTCCCTCCTCCCTGGTTATCATTATCATTAGAAGTACACTTTCCGTGTTTGAGGTAATTTCTGTCAAGTAAACTCTCATGTCCCAAGTAATAACCAGAAATGAAAAACTGATTAAAAATTTTGAAAACACAAACTTCTATGACACATATATTTGGATTTTTGCTTGTCTCCTTAATAGCTTTAATGAGATATAATTCACATACTATAGAATTCGCCCTTTTAAAGTATACAGATCATTGGTTCTTAGTATATTCACAAAGTTGTAGAGCCATCGCCACTGTCTAATTTTAGAATATTTCATCACTCCAAAGTGAACTTGAGAACATTTTTATCAGTACCCATTACCAATTTTCCCTCTTCCCAGTCCCTGTAATCACTAATCTCAGCCGTCTTCCTGTATTTGTCTATTCTGACTATTTCATATGCATAGAATCAAACAATGTGTGGCCTTTGTATACAGCTTCTGTAACTTAGCCTAATGTTTTTAAGATTTATCTATGTTGTAGCAAGTATAAGTACTTCATTCCTTTTTGTAAAAACTAGTAATATCCATTGTAAGGATGTACTACCTTTTGTTTATTCACTCATTATTACAGCATTTGGTTGCATAAGGATTGTTTCCATTTCTTTGGTGATTATTAATAATGCTGCTATGACTTGAATGTATGTTTTAATTTCTCTTGGGCATTTACTAAGGAGTGAAATTGCTGGATCATCTAGTACAAGCATGTCAAACTCAAAGGCTAACAACAGGGCAAATAAGCACAATTTAAGTTTATGTGGGCTGCAAAAAAAATAAAAGCTTCAATTTTCATAGAAATGTAGGTTTATTTCAATAGAGACTTGCTGAATATAAAGGGCTGAAATAAATGAGTAATCATTAACATAAAATAATAGAACATTTTAATAAAAATGAATATTTTTTCTTGAACAGTAACTTACCAGACACCAAATAACTACACAAATTAATAAGCGTAACACAAATAAACCTATTTTTCTTGTTTCTCCAAAAGCGAAATATTTTTTGTTGTGCACACCAAACAAGTCAGTACAAGACTAATGATGTGGCAGTCAGCTGCTAAAATATTCCCTGCTAGTATTCGTGGAGAGAAATGGTTCGCCTGTGGGTAAAGCACATAAGGGAAATGAATGCAACACGATTATAGTAAGCTGTCATTAGTGAATGTTGTAGTTCACTATTAATAACTAGAGGCCTGGTGCATGAAATTCGTGGACTCGGGATGGAGGTGGGGGAGGGTGAGGAGGGTAGCGGGGAGTCCCTCAGCCCAGATTGCAAGAAGGCTCAGGCCAGGCTGAGAGACCCCACCAGTGCATGATCAAGGCTGGGGAGGGACCGCAAGAGGGCTCCAAGGCACATCTGGCCCATCTCATTCAGTCCTGATTGGCTGGACCCCAGCAGCAAGCTAACCTATTGGTTGGAGTGTCTGCCTCCTGGTGGTCAGTGCATGTCATAGTGAATGGTTGAGTGGCCTTAGCATATTACGCTTTGATTGGTTCAACCACTGACCAGACAACTAGACATTAGGCTTTATTTATATAAGATTATGTATAACAGAATATTGTAAAAATTAAGTTATGAAATTTTTATTAAAACATTTTTTACACACTGTTATATTGCTGGGCCACAAAAAATATTTGTTGCGGGCTGGGAGTTTGGCATGCTTTATCTAGTTTAACATTTTAAGGTACTACCCAACTGTACATTCTGTAGTCCCACCAGCAATGTATTAGGGTTCCAAATTCTCTGTCTTTATTAACACTTATATTCTGTCCTTTTTATTTCAGTCATCCTAGTGAAGTGGTATCTCATTGTGATTTTGATTTGCATTTCCCTAATAATAATGAGCATCTTTTTATTTGCTTATTAGCCATTTGTGTAACTTCTTTGGAAAAGTGTCTATTCAGATCTTTTGATTATTTTTTAATTTGGTTATTTGCTTTCTATCTTTGAGATATAGAGTTCTTGAGTGTTCTTCATGCAAGTTTCATATAAATATATGATTTAAAAATATGTTCTCCCATTCTGTGGGGTTTCCCCATTTTCTTGTTGATTTTTTTATGCACAAAAGTTTTTAATTTTGATAAGGACCTATTTATTTATTTATTCATTAATGTGTATTTTTGGTGTTATGTATAAGAAGCCTCTATGTACTCAAGGTTAGGAAATTTTACTTATATGTTTTCTTTTAATATTTTTATAGTTTTTTTCTTATATATAAGGAAAGCAATTAAGAAATCAATTGTATTATATGGATGAATGAGTTAATTTTGTATATGATGTGAGGTAAGGGCCCAAGTCCATTCTTTTCCCAGTACCATTTGTTGAAAAGACACCATTTATCCCGTTAAATTGTCTAGCAACTTTGTCAAAATCAAACAACTGTAAATGGAAGGGTTTATTTTTAGACTTGAATTCTAATCCATTGATCTGTATGTCTATCTTTATGGCAGTGCCACACAGTCTTGAGAACTGTAGTTTTGTAATAAGTTTTGAAATTAGGAAGTATGCGTTCTCTAGCTTTGTTCTTTGGTTCAATGGTCGCTATTCTGGGAACCTTGCATTCCCATATGAATTTTAAGATCAGTTTTCCAATTTCTTTTAAAAAGCTGGGATTCTGATAAGAATTGGATTGAATCTGTTGTATATATTAATTTGGGGAGTATTGCCATTTTAACAATACTAAATCTTGTGATCCATAAACATGGGATATGGGATGTCTTTCCATTTCTTTAATCTTCAATTTCTTTCAATGATGGTTTATAGTTTTCAGTGTATAAGTCTTATACTTAGTTTATTAAATTTATTTCTAAGTATATTTTTATGCTATTGTAAGTGGAATTGTTTTCTTAATTGTATTTGCAGATTGCTCACTGACATATTTTGAGTTTTTTTCTGCATCTTTATTTTATTGTGGTAAAATATACATAACATAAAACTTAGATTTTAACCATTTCTAAGTGTAATTCACTGGCATTAAGTAATTATTTACAAGGCTATTGTAACCATTCCCAGTATCTATTTTAAGAACTTTTTCATCATTCCAAACAAAAGCTCTGTAGCCATTAAACAATAGGTACAAAACTCTACATTTCCCTCCTCCCAGCTCATAGTAACTCCTACTCTATTTTCTGTCTCTCAATTTGCTTATTCTAGTACCGCATGTATGTAGAATTATACAGTGTTTTCTTTTGTTCTGGCTTATTTCACTTAGCATAATGTTCATCCATGTTGTAGCATATATCAGAATTCCATTTATGTTTATGGCTCAGTAATAGTCTATTGTTTATACATTTATCTGATGGTGAATATTGGGTTGTTTTCATTTTTGGCTATTTTGAACAGTGATACTATTCACATTGGTGTACGAATATCTGTTCAAGTTCCTGATTTCAATTATTTAAGATATATATCTAGGAGTAGAATTGATCATATGGTAATTCTATGCTTAACTTTTGAGGAGCAGTGAAACTGTTTTTACAGGAACTGCAGTATTTTATACATCAGCAGTACACAGGGGTTCCAATTTCTTCACATCTTCACCAAATCTTGTTATTTTACATTTAAGAAAAATAATAATCACCTTAATGAATGTGATGTTTGATTAAAAATTAGAGTGCATCTAACAATCTTTTAACGATAGAATAGCTAATCTCTCAGACAAACACATGCAAAATGTAGTCCATTGAAAAAAATAAAGGAAAACTGAATTTTCTGCGTTAATTTTTAGCTTTAGTTATAATTGTAATTTTCATACTTTGTCATAGTTGAGGATAAACAATTAAAGAAAAGCTGGGCTTTTAGAAGGAGAATATTGAAAACTTTTATGGATATATTATTTTAAAGTTTGGACAATGTAACGAACTCTTTTTCTTCTTTCTGTGATGTCAAAGACAACGGACACTGTTACTAGAACTCCACCAGACAAGGATGAAGAGATGTGCAAATATTTCTTGAATCCTTCTTTAATGTCATCAGAATATCCACGAACAACCTTGAAAAAGAAATCAGAAGACATGAGTGACCTCCCTTCTGAGAATCAAAGAAGCATACCACTCGCTGTGACTGAAGCTTTAGAGCATATTATGGAACAGCTCAATGTTTTGACACAGGTGAATTGCTATGCTTTGCCCTGGGGAACAAGATATGCAGAACAGTCCTGGTTACAGCAGGTTGTAGAATTAGCAGAATAGGGGTAAATTCCTCTCCCTTAATCTGGGTAGCAATGTTTTAGCCTAAGAAGTTTTGATATGTTCAGATTAGGACATTTTCAGTGGCATATTTAGGGCCAAAAGACAAATGTATTGGGATTAATTATTTCTGGTTAGAAAGAACTACTGGCAGTGTTTACAGTTCCTTCACTCTGAAGATATTCTTGCTATCCCCTCATTCCAGAGCTTCTTGCATTGATGCTGAGTTCTTCTGCAGGTGATAGGGTTTGCTTTCCCATTTTAGAATCTTACCAGTTTACCTTTGCAAAGAAGGAATACCATGGATGTTAATATACCAAAGGTCTTCCAACTCTTGGGTCAGGAGATGTAGACTTCATTTAAAGGGAGTGTTGTGTTGAAACCACCAAAGGTTTCTCTTCCAATTTCGCTGATTCAGTATTTCCTTTGAAGAAGTTTTCTTTTGCTCCTCTTTGATACATAGACTAAGAATACCAGTATTCATCAAAACGGTCTTGTCACAATGATAAGAAGAGGCTGTAATGTGATCTGGATATGTCATTTACTTTTCCAGAGTAAATATTTCTAGTTGAAATAGGTCCTACATAGAAATAATCTAATTTTGTTCTCAACCCTGTCTATACATTATAATCACCTGGGTAATTCATAAGCATTCCGATGTCCTATTCTCATCTCCAGAGAATTTATTTGCATTGGTCTGGGATAAGGTCTTTCAGTCACCCCATAGGATTTTGTATGATAGCCAGGGTTTAAAGCCACTAAATACAGAGTAAAAACATTCAGCAGATTCAGTACTGGCTGGCTGTTCCCCACACTGCCACAACTGCCTCACTGCACTCTTGCATGCAGTGTTGAGCCCTCATACATCTCTCATGTGAATGTTTTCATTCTCCACTCTTTCAGCTTCACCCATTTCTACTTCCTTTGGCCTGATTTACAGATAAATGAATCATGTTAAGCTTTATTGAATGTCTGCATGATTTTTTTATCTTCAATTTTGAATAGCTGGCTGGCTTTTACAAATGAAAGTGGTTAAAAGCAGGCACAGCACACTTGCAAAACATGAATAGTGAATCTGTGGGCCAGTACCAGTAGCACAGACATGTTCTGATTCACTTTATTTACAGGTAACTGGGCTTCTAACTCAGCTGCAGTGTTATTGTCTTTACTGAACTATAATTAGAAATAAATTTAAATGAAATTATGTTTAGATGGTAAATAAATGGAGTATATTGTTAAAGGTGTTGATAATATTTTTAACACCTTTAGCATGTGGAATTGTGATAATGTATATAAAGTATCTGGTAAAATATTTGACTCATATAGGCACTCAAGAAATAGCAAAATATATTACCAGCATCATTGTTATTTTTAACTTGTCATGATCTGTACTATCAAATATGAAAGCAAAAGCTATAAATAATGACAGTTTTAAAAATAGGTTACTTTCATAGGATGATAGAGCACTTATTCATTATCTTGAAACTTGCTGCTGAAATAACCAAGATTTACCTGGCCTTTCCCCTATGAACTCTATATAATCAAATAGTAGATGAGGGAAATGTCTCTTATTTATAAATTACCCTAACTAATATATTTTTAAAGATGGAATTTAGTATCATCACTTACAACTCCCAAGAATTAAGAGCTCTCAGCATTGAGTAGTTACTAACATTATGAAAAGAGAAACAACCAAACCTTAGTAATGTGCCTTCTAATGAAAAAACAGACTTCCACTTATAGTCTTATCAAGGGATCTAGCCTAAGTCTTACCAGCCTTTGAGTCCAACTGCCAAATGATCAAAGACAAGGAGGGTAGAAGAGCAGACTGTGCTGGACCTGGGTGTTCCATTCCTAAAGTCCAGACTTGTGGGAACTCTGCCTTCACATGTTCTCAGCCTGACAGCAAACCACTTGTAAAGAAAAGGAAGAGAAGGGATAGCAGCCTATTCTATATAATAAAAGGCTAATATGCAAATTGTCCCCTCGACCAGAAATTAGACTAGGAGTTCGACCAGGGGCAGGGCCAGCTGGCCAACCACCCTCAGCCCCTCCCCCCGGCCAGCCCCACCCCCAATCAGTCCCCCTACCTCAATTGGTGTGGGCTGGCCAGACCCCATAGATGCATGAATTTGTTCGCCGGGCCTCTAGTTGATTAGTAAAAGATGAAATGCATATCAATGCTTTAAAATGGTTATGACAAAATTAAAGTGTCTGGGGATGTATACCCGAAATGTAAAATGATAAAGAAATAAAAGAAAGTGATAACTGTAATGGTCAGGATAGTAACTGTTAAGAGAGCAGGAAGGAGTGGTGATTCTGACAGACACCCGGAAAGGCACCTGGGTGGCTGGCCGAGTTCTAGTGCTGGACCTGAGTGCTGATTAGAAGAGTTTCTCATGAGAAGTCATTGTAACGTGTCATGTGGCTTCCTGAATCTGTTTTAGCCTATATAATAAAAGGCTAATATGCAAATTGACTAACAGCCGTATGACTGGTTGCTATGAGGCACACTGACCACCAGGGTGCAGAAGCTCAATGCAGGAGCCCTGAGACGGGTTCACAGCTGGCACAGTGGCAGTGGCAGGAAGGAACTTCTCCCACTTCCACACAGTGCTAAGGGTGTCCGACTGTCGGCTTAGGCCTGCTCCTTCTACGACATCAGTCGGACATCCTCTGAGGGTTTCCAGACTGCTAAAGGGCACAGGCCAGGCTGAGACACACACACACACACACACACACACACACACACACACACACCCTTCTCCAAGTACACAAATTTCATGCACTGGGCCTCTAGTTTTATAATAAAAGTTGTTTTAAAAGATGTAAAAGACTGAAGATGAAGTCATTATCACAAAAAAATTTGATTTCCCAAATTTAAGAGTAGTGTGTGTGTGTGTGTGTGTGTGTGTGTGTGTGTGTTCATATACTTATTAGCTGGAGGCATTAGACTAGCTAAGATTCATCATGTCCTGTGTGACAGACACTAGCTGAGGCATTTTTTTAAATTTTTTTTTATTAAATTATTATCTGTGTACATGTTTTACCATTCCCCCCACACACACACTCATACATACCCACCCTCCCCAGAGTTTTGTGTCCATTGGTTGTACTTATATGCATGCATACAAGTCCTTCGGTTGATCTCTTATCTCCCACAGATCTCTCTCCCCTCCCCACTGTAATTTGACAGTCTGCTTGTTACTTTACTGTCTCTATATCTATCTTTTGGTTCATCAGTTTATAATGTTCTTTATTATCCATAAATGAGTGAGGTCATGTGGTGTTTCTCTTTCATGGACTGGCATTTTTGACACATCATTTCATTCAGTCTTTCTAACAACCCTTTGAAGTGCTATTATCATCTTTGGGACATGAGAACTAGAGGCAAGCATTATGGTTTTTTCAAAGTAAACTAGATAGCCAGCAGTCTAAGGTGGTATCGATATGATCTATCATTGACTATGATAGAATGGCCAGTGATGATCTAGGCATGTGGCATTGTAGCCCCACCCTGCTCCCCATACCAGTTAGATCTCCGCATGTGGCCTCTTTCCTATCATCGATGCTTTGGAAGATCTTTTCTGTTTTTCCTCAAATGCATCAGTTTTTCGTTTTTTCTTTTTTCTTTATTTCTTTTCTTCAAACTGTTTGACAGTGCTTTGCCCTGGAGTACAGCCCAGAGGCAGAACAAGTTCTGGGGCCCATTTTTGAGCCAACTTCCTGGCAAAAGGTAGGCATTCTGGTTCTAAGAAGATCTCCTTTGCAGAGATTATCATCATTGTCCTCATCATCATTGATTATTTGGTTCTCCTTTTTGCAGACTGTTTCAATCTTGGAGCAGCGATTGACTTTGACAGAGGATAAGCTGAGAGACTGCCTTGAAAATCAGCAAAGGCTTTGCCACGCCATGCAACAGAAAATCTAAATAGAAAAGTGAGCAGAGGCACGATGAATGATCTCATGTACATACACAGGAAGGCAATACAGGAGTCACCACGGGACACAACCATGTGCTAATCATCATGGCATTTCTTACAAGGGTGAGCAGCAGGAGAAAAGACATAATTAAGGATGAACTTAAATTCACAAATCAATGTCAAAGACTATTTCAAATCATTACCATTTATGATTGCAGTAATAAAGTGATATGCATTCAAGTGGCTCTATTTTCCCCGTATTATTTTTCCCATGTAGTCTAAACCCCACCAGAAAAGTAACCAAGTCTTTGGATTGCATTGTTAAATCACTTCAGATTAACTATGTTCATACAATTCCTTTTAAGCAATTAATGTATTTTTTTAGTGAGAACTCTTAGGGGGACATAACTCACCTCTAAAATAGCATCTATATGTTTAAAGAAAACATTTATCCTTTTTTACCAATGCTTGAAAAGACCATATAAATATTTCCAAAACACAGAACTTCCACAGCAAGAGTACACTTATTTTAATTTGCAACAGTACATGTATGACATAGGTCAGCAGGCTTTTATTTAATGTATGTTTTATATTGTTTATCTTTGACCAACCTGAAAGAAAATGAAGTTAAAAATATGTGAAGCACACATCTTTCTTTCATAGCTGAATGCCGTGAATGATTTGAGTTGTATTTTAACGTATAATCTCAGTTTACAAAGATTACGTTACTATGATTTCATTCGTCTCAAAAGCCAGAATGATGCAGCAGCAATACTTACAGATATACACCATATATGTTCACATGCTTCAAAAATGTTGCTTGGTATGATTTTGGCAGCTGAATAATAGACACTTTAAAAAATACATTTACATCATCACAATTAACTGAATTGTGATTTGAAACTAAATGAAAATGAGCCAGGTGTGCTAAAAGATCTTGGTTACAAGTTAAGAATTTTGTTTTAGCTTCAGCAAAATAAGAGATTAAATGGGGGGGTGGGAAGCAACATGAATTTTAGCTTGCTTTTCTGTTAACTTATATCAAGGACAAAGAGGGTGTGAGAAGATGGTCGATAGGTAACATGGAGAAAATGCTATGCATGTGTTGGAAAACAAGAAAGAGTGAGGTCCTATTTATGTAGGAGTCTGTCTATATGTAGAAATTTTTCTCAAAGCAACTTCAGTTGTATCAGTGAGGTGTTTTTTTTTATTATCTCATGTTTTAAATGCCTTTTTATATCATATATAAACTTCTAGACATTTTCAAGAGTCTATACAGACTAAGTGGCACGTATTTTTATAAACTCATTGAGAAGATGAAGTAAGAAATGAAATGTCATACTGGCTTTGTTTATTCTTTTTTTATGCTTCAAACAATAAAGACATTTTACCCATAAAAAAATGTTGTTTCTTTTTTTAATGATTGAAACCTGGAAATACTAAACTTGTTATTATCTGGCTGGTTCCATTTTAATGTGCATAACTACCTCCTGGAAAACCTGTCAAAATGGTTTCCTGGGCCCCATTCCCAGAGTTTAGGATTCAGTAGGTCGCTGGAGCCCAATAACGTGCATCTCCGAGGAGCTCTGGGTGAGACAATGTTTCTGAAGCCCACACTTTAGAAACCATTGATCTAGCTATAGCTGCTGCTTACAGCATGATGCTGCCCCATTCTTTTGCAGTCATCACAGACCTTTGTGAGTGATATAGAAACAGTGATGGTATAAATTAAAATGCCTTGAAACTTTTTCAAGGGAGTCGTTTAATTGCACTGCTCCCCTCACTCCCCTTATTTTAAGCTTTTGCAGATTCTCCTTGGTGTTTACCGGATTCCAGCCTCTCATCTTTTCTTACTTGTATATTCAGCTGCCTGATGAACATCTCCACTTAGAAGATTAGTAGGCATCTCTAAATACGTCCAAAACTAAACTCTGCTGCTCACAGTTCCCCCTCCCCCACCAGCCAGTTCCTCTCCTAGTCATCCAGGCTCAATAAATGGCAACCTGCCTTCCCAGTGCTCAGGCTGAAGACCTGAAAGTGAGTCATCCTCGACTCTTCTCTCACACCATTCCATTCCCTCAGCCCACCTTGTCAGAACAGATGAAAACCAGACCACATCTCACCACCTACATCACCCACCATCATCTCTTACCTGGACTTCTGCAGTTAATTCCAGCTGGTCTCCCTCCTGTCACCTGTACAACCTGTCACCTGTACAGCAGGCCAGAGTGCTTCTTGAAAACCTGAATTAAAATCGTGGCTCTTTGCCCAAAACCCTTCAGGTCTTCCCATCATAAAAGCCCAGACGTTGTACATGATGTGCTCTCTTTCCAGCTCCTCTTGGACCTGCACCCTTCCCCCTTGAGTCACCCTCACTCACTCACTAGCTTCTGGCCATAGGGCCTCTTTGCTCCCAGTTGAAGAACCAAATAAGCTCCTACCTGAGGGCATTTGTGCTTGCCATTTCCTCTGCCCCGAACACTCTGTTCTCTGATATCATAACATTCCAGCCCGCTCACCCAGCCCTGCTCTCAGACTGCCTTTCCAGCAGGCTCTCTCTAATGGCCCTGTATGAAACAATCACCCTCCATCCACTGCATATCGGGTACAGCAGATTGCAACAGAATACAGTTCTGCCTCTTCCTCTGTGATGTGACCTCAAAGAGCTGTCACCTAACCCGTCATCGTTAGATTGCCCACCTCGCACTATCCATAAGAAAAGCTAAACAAATAGCTGTTGCATAAGTGAGAATTTTCATTTATTCAAGGGGCTTTAAAACATTGCTCTTCACTTAGAGCCAAAAGCAGCAAAAACTAGACTGAATGGACTAGAGGAAATGACATATCTATGTTAGATGCTTTAGATCTAAATTTAGATGTAAATTTTAGATGCTTAATGTGGGGGACTGAGTGTTCTGGCCTGCTATTTGTTTTATAGATCAGTCCTTAAATGCATAGTGTTTTTTGTTGTTTTATATATGTTATTAATTTTTTTTTTTATAGAGAGGATGGGAGAGGGATAGAGAGTTTGAAACATTGATGAGAGAAAAACACTGATCAGTTGCCTCTTGCACACCCCTTACTGGGAATGTGGCCGCAACCAAGGTACATGCCCTTGACTGGAATCAAACCTGGGACCCAGGCTGACCCTATCCACTGAGACAAGATGCATAGTGTTTAATGCCACAAAGACTTGAGTGCAAATTCCATCTTTGCTTTTCTGTAGTAGTGTGACTTTCAGGAAAGATACAAAGCAGAAATTTCCCTAACTATAAAAGGTGAAAGCAATAATGTGAATTGTGTTTGTGAAATGATTAGCGTAAGTTCAGTAAGAGTTAAGCACTCAATAAATGTAACTACATTGCTATTAATCATTTTGTTTTACTGGACTGCATTTCTAAATAATAGGATTTCAACTATACTATGGAAAAGATACAAAGATAATATTAAATGGTGTGGACAAAAAATGGGATTCTGTGCAAAGTATGCCTCATAGGATGATCTGTTGATAAATTACTTGCACAGGTTTTGGTAGATAGTCACAGGCATATAACTTCTTTATTAAAAACCTTGTCTTTGTCCAGCCAGTGCTGCTCAGTGGTTGAGCATCAACCCAGGAACCAAAGTGGTCACCAGTTCAATTCCTGATGAGGGCACACGCCCCAGGTGTGGCCTCAATCCCCATAGAGGGCATGCAGGAAACAGCCAATCAGAGATTCTCTCCCACCATCACTCTCTCCCTCTCCCTTCCTCTCTCTAAAAATCAATAAAAATATATTAAAGTACACTTTTCTTTAAGCTTATTTAAAAAAAAAAATAAGACACACAACCTTGTCTTTGTCTTGTTCAGGCCCTGTCCATTGTTTCTGTGCATCTGGGTTAAAACACCTTTGATATGCCCCCTTTCAGACCTTCCTTCTTATAATCCAATCCTGGTTTTTCTTTGTCCCACCCTCATGCAATCTTCCTTACATTCCCTCTTTAATTTCAAATTTTGCTTAAAGGAAACTGCAAACTTATTCTCCAGAGACTTTGAGATCTTGCTCTCTTGCATGTCATCAGCTTTGACTCAAACTCATAAAAATGCTCTACAAGTTTGGAATTTTTTACATTGACAGTGGTAACAAATGAAAGCATGGTACTTAATCCAAAATTAGTATTTTATTTTATTTAAAAGTTCAACAACAATAATAAATCTATTAGGAGATTAGACTTTCATACACAGAAAACTGCAAGGTTCAGGCCAAATCTTGGCCATCGAACCACTCCAGAGGAACTCAATCTGAGAATAAATTTGCTATAATTATTTATATCCACTGAGTGGCCAGACTATTATGATCTCTGAACGCTTAATAATCTTGCCACTCAGTGTATATATGTATACACTGCTGGAGGGACCCCACTCACTCTGCAGAAGCTGGGGAGGGACCACGGGAGGTTGGCTCCAGGGCGTGTCTAGCCCATCTGGCCCAGTCCCGCCCCTGGCAACTTTCTAATTAATTTCCTTTCAATGTGCAGGGATCTGTGCACCAGGTCTCTAGTCCTAAATAAAGATGAGAGAAAAACAAGGAAGTAGAAGGGCCTGGAATGTGAACCAGCCTACAACCCATACCATCCTGGCCCTTTGACAGGTATTATTACTACTTTGGAAAACAGGTATTATTACTACTTTTTCTCTAAAGACAAGGCAGTCCAGATTCTCGCTTAACTCTTCATTCATATTTAGAACCAACTTGGGAGTTTATTATTCCCAAGATAAATTCTATACATCTAAAAGAATTGGGAGATAAACCATCTGTCCCTGGGTTGCTGAGAGAAAAAAATTAATATCAGGAAGTACTGACAAACATGCTCAATTCAATAGTGAGTTTAATTATAAAAACAGATGGGTCTATCTTAGTATTCAGATGGAATTATACCATCAATACACTATATGCTTCATTTCCCCTTATGGCTTATTCAATGTCTTGCCTTAGCAAGTCACGAGGTTTCAACGTTATGCACAGAG